CAGCAAGAACCGTGGTAATGATGGATACTTGGCAGGGAACTTAAGCAAAGTGATGGAAGTCAGCAGAAAAAGAAATTGGCTAAAGGGTTGATAATAGAGCTGACACATATTGCTGTCTAAAGCAGCTGGACAACCTTTGCTGAAAAGGCCAAAAGCCGGTTCTTTCCACAAAAATGATCCAAATTCCACACAACACAGAAGCATCTCTAGCCATGGTAACATAATTGGATATATTTATAGGGTTTGGGATGAGCTTCTTTCTATACAGCTCCTCAGCAGGCCTCTTAATGCAGCCCTGCAGCAGGAAGTTTTCTCCTAGATGACATTTAAATGAACAGTTAATACAGTACAATGTAGCTCCAGTTTGACCCTTGGGATATATTTTCACTAAACCTCCATTGCTGTTGATTTTAACGGTTAAAGCTTTCCCTGAAGAATCTTAAGAACTGGTGTGGGGTTTTAAGAAGTTTAATGAAAGCAGATTCAAAATATTAATGTATGTGTTTTTAATACTGTATAGTTTTTAATACCATATTGTACAATTACATTATTCTATGCATACACAGATATAAGAGAACTGCAAAAGGGGCTAATAGGACTTAATAAATTTCTTCATATATTTAAACATCTGTCTTTTTAAATGATTAGCCTCTTTTTTTTCTTCTTCTTCTTGTAAGATGAGTTTGATTGGTCATCTTAATCAATGGAATTAAGGCCAAATTCTGAAAAATTTGTTGTCACTGAAAATAATAATAGTGCTAAAATAATAGTAGTAGTACTATAATGTAACCACTAATAAAATATAAGATCAATAATAATCATCATTATTATTAAGATTATCATCATCCAAAATACACAATGCCATCAAAAGAGTAAAAGAATTGAAATGGAAATGGGCTGGTCACAGAACAAGAAGAACCGATGGCAGATGGACCAAGGCAGTCATAGAATGGATCCACTTGATAAAAAGCATCCACAAAAAAGACTAAAACAAGATGGATTGACAACAGCAACTATTGTGGGCCCAACTGGCAAAGCAAAGCTCAGGACCGTATTGGTTGGAAACATGCAGAAGAGGCCTTCAGCCAGCAGTGAATAGTCAATGGTTAGAACGATGATGATGAATAATCACAGTTACAACAACATACAATCATACAATGGAATCAGAACATGTAACCATTGGAAGAGACATTGCTGATCATATAATCTAACCCATGGCCAGATAAGAATCCATTGCTGCAGCATCTTGACAGATCACCATCCAACCATGATGATCAGGGGACTGATCATATAAAGAATGGTTGCTGGAATTGGGTATGTCTAGTTTAATGAAGAGAAGGACTAGGGGTGACATGACAGCAGTGTTCTAATATCTCAGGGGTTGCCACAAAGAAGAAAGAGTCAAGCTATTCTCCAAAGCACCTGAAGGCAGGACAAGAAGCAACGGATGGAAACTAATCGAAGAGAGAAGCAACCTAGAACTAAGGAGAAATTTCCTGACAGAACAATTAATCAGTGGAACAACCTGCCTCCAGAAGTTGTGAATGCTCCAACACTGGAAGTTTTTAAGAGACTGGACAATCATTTGTCTGAAATGGTATAGGGTTTCCTGCCTGAGCAGGGGGTTGGACTAGAAGATCTTCTAGGTCCCTTCCAACTCTGATTCTATTCTATTCTATTCTATTCTATTCTATTCTATTCTATTCTATTCTATTCTATTCTATTCTATTCTATTCTATTCTATTTAAATCTTCCCAATGAAAGAGAATCCATAACTTCACTGGGCAAGCTATTCCACTACCAAACAGCTATTAGGATATTTTTCCAATACCCAACTGAAATCTCTGTGACTTATACCCATTGTTTCTTGATCTGCCTTCTGGAGCAGGTCTAAACAATCCTGCCCTGCCTTCTATATAACACCCCTTCATATCTTTGAAGAGAAATACCATCTTTCTCCTCACATCCAGTGCTTCCATATCCCCTAACTTTTTGCTTCATGATCATCTTGATTGCTGTCTTCCTCAAACGTGGCATTCAGAACTGGATACATTAACTAATGAGGAAGAGAAGGCTCTTGTTCCTTTTTGACTTGCCAAAAAATTTTGCCCATGACCTGTGTAAATGTATCTGCCATTGAACAAAAATATCATTGGATATTACATTTTTATTACAAGTGTCAGGGTAAAATGGAATAAGGAGCCAAAGGGAATTATTGGATTTTGATGCAGCCTTGAACTGTATTTGCATAGCTATTCTATATAATCAAGGGCCACTTTAATTTCTCAGTCATAATGTTCAAATAAGATGTACTTTGCTGTACCAATTGCAGGCTACATAGTGACTTCTAAAGTGTTTTAAGCATCAGGATTTCATACATATTCACTTATAGGCAAGAGGTCTGTTTTTCCACAATTCATACCAAATCTAAAGGAGAGTTGGTATCTGTTTTTCTTTTGTCTTTAAAATAAACTGTGGGAAAGCTTTAACTACACTTTAATATCTGACAGACCAGGAGTGGGAGATCTGTAGTCTCCAGATGTTGCTGTTCTACAATTTCCAGCATCACAGCCAGACTGGTCAAAAGTGATAGATGTTGAGGTCTGTGTTTTACTGACCTCAGGAGGGCTCTTGAACAGTTCACTGTCCTTGTGAAAAGATCAGTTCTGATTTGTCAGGAATCTGATAGCAATTCCTGAGTCATCCAGGCAATGGGCAGCCAAGTATTTATATGCCTAGTAAACAAAATATGAATTAACAGTATAGATTTTTTTCCACGCAAGAACAATTCTATAATCCAACAATTGTGGAGGACAAAAAAGAGAATTAAAATAGATAAATATGAAAAAAATGCATGTACACAAAAATATGGTTTCTTACAATGGAGATAAAAGTAGACATTAATAGGCAGTGAAATAATGAGCTCATGAGATCGCAAAGAGTTTTCCATCACCATGGAACTACAATTCCCAGAGTTCTTTGATTCAAGGAGGATTTAGGAAATGTGCCAGGTTGCAAAGCAATGTGACAAAGCCAGGAAAATCAGCCACCCCATTAGAAAGCCTTCTACAATTCTCTCTTGGAGTGATCAGGTGTCAGTACAGCTTGGAACACATTCTAAGCATGTTGGCTCCTGGCTTAAAGGTGAAGAGAATAACACACTACAGTATAAACCAATATAAACTGAAGCAGAAATGCATTCATTTGAAAATAAATCTTGCTCAATTTAGGGGGAATACATAAATAGTCCCCCTCCAAATGCTCAAAAGGCCTGTCAGAAATAAATATCTTCCCATGTGTGAATAGGTTGTTTAAATTCTCTTTGCACTCCAATCTCTGCTTATCAAAAGTTGGAAAGAATTGCAGACACCCCAGAGGACTACAATATCTTGTTTGCAAGTATTAACTCTAAATAACTCTGGTGTGGAAGAACACTGAAAGGAAAAGGTGATATTTTGACTAAAAGTGTTTCCTAGTGCATCAGGGTGTTGTTGTTTTTAATTCAGAACTATTTTTAGAAGAGGAGAGAAAGATTGAGTCCAACAACTGTTCAAAGTTGCAACGGCACTTAGTGAGAGGACTAACAATGGGTCCTCACAGCATCCCTGCAGTCATGTGATGATGACACTTTAGCAAGCTGTGGCCTTGTAATTGCAATTTCAGACCTTTCCCCCTGGCTTCCGGCAATTAAAGAAAATGGGAAAGCTGACAGGAAGTCGCAAGTCACAAACACATTAGATCCTTGCTTAACAACCCAACCAATCCTCATTTAACAATGGCAACTGGGACTGACATTGAACTTTATGAGCACATTGCTTGGGGACATCAAGTCTGACAGTTATTCTTTGCAGATAGACATGCAAAATATTATAATTACTAATTTTGTATAACATTTTCCTATAGGCAGCCCAAACCTGCCACATAATGAACTCCAGGTTTGGAAAGGCCATTTAAATTGCATGATAATTGGAAAAGGGATATTCCATTCGGTTGGAAGCACATATTTTCTTTTCTTTTCTCTTTTGCCTGTTTAGGCACAAGAAATACAGAAGATAATTATCCTAAAAAAAATCAAAGCAAATCTGTACCTGCCTATGTATCTCCAATTAAAGACTCCTCCAAAAATTTGGTTAGGGCATTTGCTACTTTTAAATATGACTTTGAAGAGTAGAGAAGGAAGAAGACACTGTGACTTTTTTCCCCCATGTTATGGAGATGCTAAATGGTATGTCCTTGGTTACTGCTCTGTGACCTTTATGGCAATGGATCTAATTCTATCTGAAGCTGTTGCAATTTGAAAGCAACAGTGGGAAGGCCTTACCCAAGACCCAAATGCACATATTGACTTATTGCTGGACCAAGTGAAGCACTGCCTCAGTTGGAGGATGCGGAGGTCAGGGATCAGGCCCACAGGTGGCAGAGCTCATACCACACAGTATCTGAGACACCCCTTTGGGCTGGATAAGATGAGAGAACACAAGGCCCTGGTTTACTATTTATAGTGAATTCTGTTAAGCTGCCATGTAGCCCAGAGCAGATGCAAACAACTTTCATCAACAAAAATCTGGCCAGTCTGGTGGTCTTATCGCTATAATTTTTGGCTGGAGGATTACAATCCTCAACAGGTAGAAACATTTTCTCTATATTTTGAAGGAGCCATTCTTTTGTACAAACTTGATGAAGAAATTTCAGGAATCCAAAAACTTCTGAAGGCATTTGCATATTGAGGGTTTTGAAAATATGTTGTGGAAATGCTTCCCAAAGGTTTCTTGTGGAAGAAACTTGACCATTTACAAAATGGCAGCCATAGTGTTCATAATCAGTTACAGAAATCAAACTGCTGAAGCCAAAACTTGCCGCAGAACTTAAGTGGAGATGTAGCTTTACCTCATCCATGTCAAACTGTATATTTCTGCTCTCAAAGCACAACAAAATATTACAGAGGACAAATTGTTGAGGCTCAAGTCAAGGAGGTAAGACACACAATGTATGGACACTGGTTAATTAAAAGTCATTTTTATTGCATGCAACTCCATGTTCTGACTCTACCAACCATTCTGTCATACTGACTGGGGATGATGATAATTATAGTTTAAAACAGCAGGACAAAGGAGGTATATTATCTATGCACATGTTCAAATAAGGCATTAATATTAGCTCTAACAATTGAGATATAAGTATTTTTTTTTATTTTGCTAGGTTTCTATCTAAACTGCATCTCTTCTCTTCCACACTTCTTGTTTCATTTCCATCACGTGCAGTATCCCAGAGAAAGCACCACATTCTAGTTTGTTGTAAAAACATGTTTATTTCAGTTGTAATTTTATCAACCTGTGGGAGTAAGCCCACTGAACATAACAATTCAGGCTAAATGTGTATGAACACACTCACATTCTGCATTTTTAGAATAGGATGTTAAAATGCATGTACTCAGTAGCAGTGGTGGGATTCAGCCAGTTCGCACCAATTTGGCAGAACCGGTAGCTATTTTTTGGTGCCCAGGCCCAGAATGGACTTCCGGAAGCAGCATCCACACAGAGAACCGGTTTGTTCACATATCTGAATCCCACCACTGCTCAGTAGCCCTCATACACACCATTTACTTATCCTTTCATTCATGTCAAAGATTTATATGGCTACCCATCCGATTAAAAAAAGACCCTGGGTGGGTCACAATGCAACCAATAAAGACAAAAACATGCCATGACAGACCCATACTATACATACAGATAATGCTCTCTTAATGCTCATTCAGTATCCATTTGAAGTTACAAAGGCACTCAATGAAGGGACTTAAGATTGGGCCCTGAATTTCCAGCAAACCCCCCCCCTACTGTCATATGACTAAAATGCAGGCACACTTGTGCCCACCTTCACTTAGGACCACCTTTTGGCTACTCACCTACCCAGGGCTGCCAAGCACCCGCACTGCCTGGCCCCACCCATCATGGCATTTGCACACCAGCCAGCCAGGGCCTCTAATTCAAGCTCCACTCAGGCCTCCTTTCACAAAAGCCCTGTGTGCCAGCACTGAAGAAGACCCTTTCTAGCCCTGGGTGAAGCAGCAATGGAGGCCCCGGCTATAGCGTAAATGGAGGCTCTGAACAGGGTGCGAGATAAACCCTGAACGCAAAAGGCAGTGGTGTGAAAGAAGGTTCCAGCAAGTACAGTAGTGGCGGGCAATGCAGTAGGCACAGTGAGAGAGCTAGGCAATGGAGCAGCTGGCAGTAGCGGGTTGATGGGTGACCTAATAGGCGGACATGGTGTGGAAGATAGGCATGTGGTGTGATGAAGTTCAACAGGAGGAAAAGAGGCAGCCTCTTACCTAACTGGATCTTGGAGTTGGGAGAGACTAAGCCAGGAATGGTTTGGACTGAGATGGGGTGAGTCCTCATCTAATAGCCAGTGGGGTTCAATTAACCTCAGCAATAGGGACTCCTGGGATTACTGTTGCTAAGCGATGCAGTCACATGACATCATGCTTTATAACCATATTGCTTAGGGACAGAACTTCCGTCCTCAATTACCATTTTTAACCAAGGACTATCTGGGCAGAAGAAATGCACTTCCCACCATGATCTCACCAGATCAACTTGACATTTGCTGGGCTCGCTCCCAGCCTAGTCCAGTGCTCAGGGGGATGAGCCAGGTCTTTTCATATTTAGAATAGTGGAGAAAAGCCATAGGCCAGGAAATATAGCAAGTTCGCTCTTTAGACAGGGAAAAGGTAACTCTCAGTTCCTTCTTTGGCCTAGCATCATAATAGAGAGGCTGCGTGAGTATTGTGTAGTTTTCCTGACTCATTTTTTTCGTCACTAGCTGCTCTTCTGCTCACACCCAGCTTACGACATTCCAGGTCCATCTGCATCAAATTTGGAGTTGACAAAGAGCTGCTGTACAAATTAAAAAGACAGAATTCTGTAAGAATTAATCAATATCACTATTGCTTCCTTCCTCCCCCTACACACACACACACACACACACACACACACATTTGTACAATGTAGCTCTGCAGGAAATAAACAGATGGGAAATAACCTCACCAGCCCATTTTAAACCTAATGGCTTCTACCAACAGAAGATTGTTTTTCAAAAACATAAAATCAATACTACGTTTCAGTATTTTATTAGATTTCCCAGTGGGCTAGATTTCTTTAAATGTGAAGAGTTTTAAGACTCAAGAAAATGCTCCAACTCTTACTCAAGGAAACCCTATAAATATTAGCAATTCCACTGTACTAGACTGGCTGAAACATTTGTTAGTGTAGGATAGTCAATCTTATTACTATCATTTCCATTTCTGAGACAGTCAAATTAAGGCTAAGTAACAAGTTTAAATTTAATGTGTAATTTATTACGGTAGCACCAAACATTTTATGGAAAAAACAGGTCATAAGTTTGGATCAGGAAGGAGCATTTTGTGATCATGTACCTATTAAGCTCATTCTCAAATACATCTTTGCAATTCAGTAATAGCGACCTCAAATGGTAACTTACAATGGAGTAATAAAGTCACTGTAATATTATATATGAATATAACTTTTATGGAGGTTTATCTTTAAAATGCCATATAAATCTTTAAGATAATGGAATACTGCAAAAGTAAAGGCCATTTAATTTCTTCTTCTAGAGAGAGGACACAGGAATCTGTGGTTATTCAGAAATTGATGGCTTACCACACTATTCATCTCTGACTGCTATGCTATATTGGAATCCAACAATGTGGAGAGAGACAAGTTTTTTTTTATTCCTGCTTCTATGAGGCAGAGAAGAGAAATTACAGAGAAGTCCAGACTCTTGCCAAGTTTTATTATCCACATAATAAGAATTGCAATCAATTACATAATCTACCACAAAGATCATTATTGTCCTACAATGAGCCTAAGTGGACATTGTTTCTTTCAAACTCTGTTCTCATAACATGGCCTTCCCACAAATGGTACTTGGACAGGTGTATGCCACCTGTTCCATATGCAGAGCTATGTGCCATTTTATAGATATAAATTCACCTGTGACTTGCACAGAATATCATGGGAGCCAAGCCATCCTGAGCAGATGCAGAAAATGGATTTGCTCTGTGGAACAGCCAACATACACAGGTGTGTATTGTTTATTTCTCGAAAACCCAAATATTCAAACTGATTCCTCTGAAAAAAAGCTGAGCTGAAGTTAAATTGGAAGTTTATCTTTGAATCATTCATACAGTTCATTTTATGCTACAGTAAAGAGGCCGTCGAGATTGTAATGAACTTCAACAAAGTTAAAGCTGAGCTAGATCGATAATAGGACTATACAGTGCTTCAAGTTCAGTTCCAAAAAGGTGCTTTGGAGCATGCAGGATGCAAATAGAACACCTGTCTGAAAGTCTTTAAAGCAACTGGGCCTTTTCCTGGAATTGCCGGGCAGCTGTAGAAGGCACCCCCATTCACGGGCAAAGATGCAAGCTGTTTAATGAATAGCATAGTTCTATGTTCATAGTCCACTGTAACCCTTTTTGGAACCAAGCCTAAAGATACAGGTAGTCCTCGAACATGACCATTACTGAGCCCAAAATTTATGTTGCTAAGTGAGATATATGTTCAATGTCTTTTGCCCCATTTTATTACTTTTCTTGCTACTATTGTTAAGTGCAGGGTAGGCAACCTTGGCTCTTTTATGACTCCTGGACTTCAACTCCCAGAATTCCTGAACCAGCCATGCTGAGGGGAAAGGGAAAGGTTTCCAAGCTGAGCCATGCTGGCTCAGGAATTCTGGGAGTTGAAGTCCAGGAGTCATAAAAGAGCCAAGGTTGCCTACCCCTGGTTAAGTGAATCATTCCAGTTGTTAATAACCTGGTTGTTAACTGAATCTGCCTTCCCCATTGACTTTGCTTGTCAGAAGGTCACCAAAGGTTTCCCATGATTTGGGGACACTGCATGAGTATGAACCACTTGCCAAGCATCCATATCTTGGTCACGTGAACCATGGGGATGCTGCAATGGTTATAAGTGTGAAAAACGTTCATAACTCACTTTTTTTGCAGTGATGTTGTAATTTTGAATGGCCACTAAATGAACTGTTGTAAGTCGAGGACTACCTGTGTACAGCCCTGAAAAGCTACTTACAACAACTTCCATATAATGACTCTGTCTTAATTTTATGCCAGCATTTCCTTCAACATGAGGCAATAGTTTACATTTGTGAAATCACCAGCGCTGTTCAAAACATGCAGAAAGAGATTCCACATCACCTTCAGGGCGCATCCTTTTGATTGGAAGACAGACCCACCTGGAGCAGTGAGTCATCAAGTGATGTCATCTACAGATTGCCAGGAATGTCTGAGGCAGAACTAATTCCTCAGTGGGTTGAACATTCACCAATGAATGACGGAGCTTTGTAATTGATTTAATGTTGGAACTTTGTAATTGATTTAATGTCCTTTAAAAAAACAAAGCATTGATATATTTGAAAAATCATTTTAATGTTGAACTTTATTCTGACTGGAGAAACAGAAGGCTTTTATGTGTATGTGCCACAAACCCACAAGCTGAGTTTGTGACCTGCTTAAATTAAATACCTCTGATGCCTTCTGACTTTTCTGTTTAATCTGTAATCTTTTTTAAAGCATCCACACATGCAAGTTATCACTTAGTGTTGTTTTCATCTAACAACTGAAGAACATGTATAATCAGGGCCCCTCTCCCCTAAGACTTTGCTGCATGTTCATTCAAAACTTTAAACATTTCTTTCTCTCCTCCCTCTCCCATCAACCTTGCCAATGAAAAATAACTGAACATGAGTTGGTCTTAAGCAAAGGTGCTGTGTTCATTTAATGTTAACAAGTTGAAATGATTGATTGGAAGGTCAATTAATTTTTAACTGTCCTTTATTAATAGTAATTTAGATTAATTCCTTTTCAGTAGGAATGATAGTCTCTGGGAAATATACCTGGAATAAAGAAAGTGAAGACTGTCTTTGGTTTCTGAGTGACAATTATTGATGTCCTTATTCTTATTAATAATATACTCATCATGGCATCACTGGGGTGTTTCACCTATTTGTTACTGAAAGGTTACAGTGGGTCTCTTGCTTTGAAGATTTCTCAATTACATTCAAGAGACTTTTCCACACACACACACACACACACACACACACACAGTCATTCAAAGAAGGAATATAAATCTCCCTCCCTCCTTTTTCTTCTATATACACACACAATCCCCTTTGCACTTATTGTGCTCTGAGGAGAGTAATTCAGAGCATGGGGAAACATTCAAAATATCTCTTGACTTCAATTAAAAATATCCTCGCAGATACCTATTAGATCTTTCTGTGAGACCAGCCATATCCCCAAGCAGGTGGTTTTCCTTGCAACTATGCCTACTCTCAAGAATGAAAACACTATCACTAATAGCAACAACAACCTGATTTTTCTCTTTATAATGGCTCTTTGTGGGGCTATTTTATTAGGTATGCTATTTGTTGTTTGTTTCAATTGTATCTCACTTTTCCCCCCTAGGAGCTCAAGGCAGCTTACATAGAGATAGGCTTTCATTTCCCTCCCCTCCCCCCAAGGTTGGTTGAGCAGAGAGACAGTGATGAATCAAAGTCTATAACTGGAGGCAAAATACAACCTAGATTGCTCAGTCCTACTTTAACAAGTTAACCACTAAGATCAGATAGGTAGATAGGTAGGTAAAATAGATTAGATGGATAGGGATAGATAGATAGATAGATAGATAGATAGATAGATAGATAGATAGATAGATAGATAGATAGATAGATAGAAACATGTTCTGTGGTCTACTGCCACAATGCACATACAGTGTACACACTTTTCAGGAATAGCATAAAGTTGTAGTTCCTGACCTAAATACTGTAATACATCCCCCGCTGAGCAGCAGGGGTGGGGAGCCATCCGTTTCCCCCGCAGAAGTAATTGTAAATTTAATCAACTAAATTAAGATGAAACGGCTCTTATGGTCAGACGTTTAGCATAACTGAGGTCTACTTTCGGGGAGGGAGAAGGCAGGGGGGAAAGAAGGAGCAGCTGCTCCTGTAGGAGAAAAGCCAAGCCGGAGATGCAGCAGCGGACAGAATAAAAATCGATCCACTCACCTTCACCTTCCCAAGAGAGATTCCAGCAGGGGAGGGAAGCGGGCGGCTGTGTCTATTTCTGGCAGCCCGGAGAGAGAGAGAAAGGAGCCTCTTCTTTCCCATCCCTCTTGTGTGTTTGTCCAGAGAGAGACTGAAAGTTACAAATTGCTGCCATGAGCTCATCAAACAGTGCCTTTTTCCCCTCGGTGAACCTTGGCCATTGGCCAAACGCCCATCACGTGCTTTCTCCCCGTGCCACTGTATCGAATGTCAGCTGGCTTTCTTTTTCAATTCTTTCTCCCCCCCCCCCTCCCCGCCTCCTCCTCCTCCTCCTCCTTGGGAAGCGGGGAAATATCCAATTTGACCAGGAGGAATCAGGGCCAAGGTAGGGGGCGGTGGGGGGGGGGGAGAGAAGAGAAGATCCATCAGGACACAATGACGGATCGTCCCCATTTAGAGCTGCCGGCGTAGGTGGGACAAGGGCCAGTGGCCAGTTGGTAGAGACCCTCCAGCGCGGCTGGGGAGGCAGCGCCGTCGAAACTGCAGCATCGGGGACGGGGTCCCCCCACCCGCCCGGGAGATCTCCGCCGGCCTTCCTCCGCCTCCTTGTCTTTCTGCGGGCCCAGCCGCCGCTGAGGCTGGCCGGTTACTCGACCTACCTCGGCCTCTGTCCACCTCTGCCTCTGTGCGGATGACATCGACTTTCCTCCCAGCCGGCGACACCTCCTCTCCGCATCCCCAGCTTGGGTGCCCACCTGGACCTCCCTTTGGGGCTCGGCTGATGGACCTCCAGGCTCCCAAGCGAGAAGACCTCCACGCCCAACCCGAGCCCGCAGGAGGGAGCCCGGGGTTAGTCCGCCGACAGCGAAGGGCCAGGCTGCCGAGACAACTTCTGAATGGCTGAAAGTTGAGCGCAACCCTCCGCGCAGAACAGGTGAGTGCTAGGAGGCTCCAATTGGACGCCGGGCTGACCCGCCTGCCGCATCACCGGATACTGGAGGTATCCCGGTAAGTAGGCGAAGGTCATCCATCACGCGAGTGGGTGAAACCCCGGGGGTCTCATTGCCAAGCAGCTCACGTGAGAATCCCCCAATTCCTTGGCCTCACTGGGACCGCTTAGCATCATTAGAGGACAAGGCTTTTGGTGAAAGAGAGAAAAGGAGAAATCTTTAAAAACCAATGGCATCCCATCATCGGTTGTTGTTGTTTTTTTTTTTCATATCAGGAGCTTTTGTTGAAACTCTTCATGGATAGGCAGGATATGATTTTTTTTTTTAAAAAAAAAAGAAAAGAAAGAAGAATCTCAAGAAGAATTTCCCAAAGCTCTTTTTCTGGATGGGTTCCCAACACAAGTTACGGTTGCTTAGAGATATTGAAAACAAAGGCTTCACAATTATTTTTTTATGCCTTCGGTATGTTTTAGCTCCAAACTTGGTTCCGAGGGACGTGCTTTTTTTTTTAAATTAAAATTAAAATGAAAGTAGCAACCACACATACATCCTCCGTGAACACATGTGTGATGGATGGGGGAGAACTAAGCAAGCATCTTCGGAAATATCTTGACATTTCATAAAGGTTGTTCGAGAAGTCTGTGTGTGTAGGGGCGGGGGGGCTTGCGTTTATTTTAGATCAAACTTCGATCAAGTACCCTAATTAGGGAGCGAATATATCATTTAGTCACGATTAGAAATTACACATTTCTCTCCCTCGCTTTTTTAAACCCACCTTTCAACGAACAGTACAGTCCTCAGTTCTGGGACTTTTGATGCTATTAAACATTTTACACTTCCAAAGTTGTGTGGGGGAGAAAAAGAGTTGACAAGATACTGAGCTGTTATGCCGACGTTTTAAATAACTGCTTGCAATTGTTTCTACTTTCTGATTTACCGGCAGAAACGCTTCGAAGTTTGTTGAATGTCATAAAAAAAACAACAAGATGAGTGCTACAAATCAGCTTCCTTCTTTGTATTTCTGAAACTGTGAAAAAGCAGACTAAATTAAGGAAAAAGCGGAGGGGGAGGGAGGCAGTGGGTGATTCGTACGTCTCTGCGTTAGGAGTATTTATTTACAAATTCTTTACAAAACAGCGATTATTCTTTGAATGGGATAAGAAAGGGATATTTATTTAGCCGGGGGGGGGGGTGAAGATGGTCTGGGATCTCTTATTGCTTTCATTCCTTGCTTGCCTTAGTTTATTTTCTTCTTCAGCAATGTTGGCTTAGGGAAGGAAGCTAGACGAACCTTCCCCTGCCCCCGACCCGGCCGGCGGAGATCGAAAAGAAAGAAGTAGTTAGAGACTTATTGGCTGCTTTAAGGTGCCTCTTTAAGAAAAATCTTCCCGTCGAAATCAACAATCGTGGGCCACTCGAACTGCAAAAATTGCAAGATTAAAGATTCGTTCAACCCGGCGCTGGAGAATGAAGGACGAAATCTCCGCGGAAGTCCGAGTTTCGATCTTTTCAAGCGCAAAAACGAAAGCTTCCCAGCTTCAGGTCGGAGAGCGCTGGAAGATCTTTTGATAAATGGACTTTTCTCTCCTTCGCTCCTCTCTGGATCCCTATCGCTGTATGGGGGGGGGGGGGGAAGCTCAGCTCTAGAGACCCTTGGGAACTGCGGAGCGGCGCTTTTCCACGCCACGGCCCTCCCAAATACCCGAAAAACATTTTGGTGTGCGATTTGCAAACCAGACACATTATCTGGGGCTTACCCGGGACGCATATCAAATATCAAAAGCCTTTGTCCCCTCCCCCTCCCCCCCCCAAAAAACTATTTTCTTCCACTTCAGCTTTTGTTTATTTTCCCATTAAAAATAAATAGATAAAACAATCTAATGAAGCGATCCGGTAAGATCCGGCGTATGGCCCGTCGTTTCATTTAGTTGTTCTGAGGCCGAAGAATTTTGTGCGCGGCCTTTTTTGTTGTTGTTGTTGTTGTTGCTGTTGTTCGGTTCTGAAACAGATTTGTGACTTGGAGATATTTTATTCATTTAGATCTTTTCCAAACCACTGGGAGGGGGAGGGGAAGTGTAATTAATTATGGCCGCTTTCAAGACCTGCCCCGGGTGTTTGTTGTTTGGGTGGGAGAAAAATTCCAAAGTTTAAGGTCGGTTTCATTTTTTTCCCCGAAGAATAAGAATAAAGACGAGAAAAAACGAGAAGACCGACTGCTTTATTTACTGGCAACTTTTGTTAATGCAGATATTTTTAACAAGAGCAGTAGGATTACAGCAGAAGTGTTTAAACCTGTAATCCTATATCGTTGTCCATTAACTGGGAGGAAGCCCCACTGAGTTCAATGAGACTTTCATCGAAGGGAATAGAGTTAGACTTCCCAGGCCAAAACCCTTCCCCAAAGTTTGGGAAAAGGGAAGCCACAATTGTCTGCATTTTCAGATCTAAACCAACACAGAGATGCATTTTCTCCTGAGGGAGCAGGAAGTGGATAGCTATTTACAGAATATTTTCTTGCTCTTGGAAATATTTGTTCTTTTCCTGATTTTCGAAAAACAAAACAAAACACCACCAAACTTTGCTTTCCAATTCAGCGGAAACATGCCTGGGCACGTAGGAGCAAAATAACAAGGTTTTTTTTTAATTCATAAAATCCAGTTTTTTTAAAAAAAAAATAAATTGATTTAATTAGTCATAGAATGACTTCGCTGCCTCCTCTGTGCTTCAAAGAGCAGGGAATAACACACTGCCTCCTCATTTCAGTGGAGATCCAGGTGTACCTTTCCAGCATAAGCCTCTTCAGCTGGTTGAATACGAGGAAGAACTCACTGGGAGTTCTTCCTCATATTCAACCAGCTCGCTTGGGACAAGGGAGTGAAAAAACGCAAGGCAAGGCAAGGCAAGGCTAGGCAAGCCACAGTGATTTTCCAGGCAGCTGAAGGCAACAATGAACAGTGAAAATACCTGGGGAGAGGGGGTGGGTTGGTTATAATTTTGACAGGCTTGGTGTTTGCAACAATTCAACAATTGTTGTTGATCAGCAAGATGGTCTGAGAAACGTCTGCAATGCAAGGGGGAAATTAAAGATGGGAGAGATAAAGAAACATATGGAAAGAATAAAAGTGTGGCCTGTCTGCTGCAATTTACAAAATTATTTGAGACAGAATGAGGTTGTGGTGGGAATAGGCCCAGCTGCTATTATTAATATTAGTATTAGTATTATTTTGAAATGAAGGAAATTTTAAGAAATCTATTCTTTATGCAACTTCTGTTTTGACCTACCACGTCTGTCTCCTTTCAAGTCTTCATGCTACATTGACTTCTATGGACCAAAAAAAAAAAAAAAACCCAAAAAACAAAAACTAAAAAATCCACAGCCTTGAAACACACCGGACTCTCAACTTTTTCTTCTCTATTTTAGAGAAGAAAAGGCAGGGGAAGAAGGAGGAGGGAGGGAAACCACGTTTAAAGCTGTCTTTTTTATCTTGGTGCCTTCCATAATTGAACATGATCGTGTCTTTCCTCCACTCATTCTGCATCTTGGTTGAAGACAGAATTGTCAGCACACCTTATACGCTCCAGGTTGATTGATGCAGAAGATTTCTTGAATTGGGGAAAACTACAGGAAGACAAAAGGGACCAGCTACTTGTCTGTGTCCATATGCAATAGTAAACACTGTGATTCCAGTATGTAATATTTAATGAAGGTAGCCAAAAAGAAAAAAAAAACAAAAACCCAACAACCTTCAGTTCCATTTTTCAAATACACATATAAGCTATTATGCAGTAATTTTCAAAATAATCACCGTATGAAGTCTCTCTCACAAAAGGAAACTTTTCACAATTTAAAGAACAGTGTTATGATACAAGTTCCCATAGCGTGGAGTTTAGTTTATCAGATGAATCTCCTTCATGCAAGAATGGCTGCTTTAAGACAGGGTTTAGGGGCAGATGTTGAGGAACCCACTTCACAGCAGGGGTCACAGAGCCCCTAAATGGAGTCGTTCCCAGCTGCTCAGTTCATAGGCCATACAAGCCAGAGGAGAGACAATGTTGAATGGTCCCTATGTTCTAATATAACTGGAGGTTGGTTATTAGTTTATCACAAAATGTATGTTTGTCTTGGATTTAGGATAAATGTTGTTGTGTTCTTCAGAATAATATTTCTGCTTACCACTGTGATTATTATTTTACTTTAGGATGGAAGTTATTAGCATAAAGGATCCGATTTGTGGGTCCCTTCCTCCAATTCTACCAATCATCTTCTGAGAAATTCTTTGTGAATGATGGGATTCTGGATACTGAACCTGAGGAAGAATGAGAGCTACACCATGCTTCTGAACTCTACATTTGTTGGGGTACCCTACCTCCAGATTTCTACCCTGATAATGTTCAGGGAGTCACTGAAAACTGGGCTATTCTCTTAGACCTTGGGTTGGGATGGTTGTCAAGTCCCTGCAGGATTTTTTTTTATTCATTATGAATTATTTTTTTTCTGTGTTTCTTACTTTAAAGCATGAGCCGCCCAGAGTCATTTGAGGCCAGATGTCCTCTAAATTGTATAAATAAACAAACAAACCAAAATCCAGGATACTTCATGAATATCTGAGAAAAGGTAAGATAATATACAGTATGTAGAATAGCAATAGCAGCAGGAACAACTTGCCACAATCTCAGAGGACTGTCACTGGGAGCATGTCCCAGTGGAGTAATACAAGGAAAACTGAAATTTGCCTTGGTGGGAACGCGTCAAATGAGCCACAAAAACATCAGGAGCAGAGAGCAAAACTGTCACCAGAACTTATGTGTAGATGTGGGTGGGTGGGTACGTGCCAGTGTTGGGCTTGGAAAGGAAGCTTGCTTCCTGATTCCTAATTTCCATCAACTGAAGCTTTGCTTTGGGTGAACTGCTTGGATCCTTCCTGCTTGATTATTCTAGTCAATCCTTCTCTGAACGGCATCTATTGACTCCCTGAAGATGCTCAAAGGGATGTGAAGCTTTTACCCGGGCAGCTTGTTCTGTGATGGCTCGTTCAGGCAGGCAGATCCCTGCTGGAAGCTTTTGAATATACAGGAAGCAGCAGATAGATTTTAATCAATTTTATCTCATTTCAGTTGTACAAAAAGTCATCATTGGGAGGGGACAAGAGAAAGGCACAACTTCGTGACCAAGCCTGGATGTAGATGGTTTTGATGGAATGCCCCTGTCGAAATACCCGGAGTTACACCCACGTGCACATACAGCTTGAACCAAACCAGGATCTATGGCTTCAGCTGCCATCTTCCCCAAGAGAGGAAATGTGGCTGAGTATAGTTTGCATAATTCACACTAGCTTTCTTATTAGCTCTGAAATTGCTTGAGGAGCTGGTGAGAATTTTCTTTTCCTTGCTACTGTTTTCAGCACCTCCAGTTATGTCCTTAAGGCGCAGCCAGTGCAGGTTTGCACACACAGCAAATTGTCCTACTTATGAGTCATTGGGAATGTTGCAAGCTTTCTGTTCTGTAGATTTTTTCAGGAAACACAAGTGCTTCCATGCACAGCTATTCTTGTTATACATCCAGGCCGGGGATAAACAGAATGGTACCCATGGAGATGATATGCTAGTAAAATATTCATCAGGTGCTCTACCCTCATGTGAATTAATTTGTTAAAGAGGAAAATAGCTGAGTTGTAAAGATCCACATTCTACTCCAATGGCTGGTAATGGGACATCTTCAGGCACTGTGATAATGTGACATTCTTAGGTGGTTGTCCAAAGGCCTGCGTAAAAATATTTTAGTAATGACCAAAATGGTCCAAGTACACCAAATCTCATAAGATTTCAAGCAAGACTGTCAAACCCTCTCATGTTTTGAGTGAGAATGCCAATATTTTATGAGATTTAATGATGTCAGAAAATTCCAGAATTATTTTAAAAAAGAATTAAAATATTTCTTTTTGGTCCCAACATTATTGTACACCATCATGCCATTCATGTATTTTTATGTCATTTATTTGCAGGAATGGCTCTGTATTTCACAAATGATTCCAAAAGTATTTCTAAAACAAATTACAACCATAAGATTATAGAAAGTCTTTATTTGGGGATTTGAAAATTGATTTCCAAGAAAATATTAGAAGAAGGAAGGAAGGGGAAAGAAAAAAAGAAGGGAGAGGAAGAATTGGAGCCAAAACCATATTCTGAACGATGTTCTGTTCTCTTCCTTATCTGTAGTGTGATTGCCTAGGATCATGGGGCGACTAGGCTCAGCAGCTAAATGAAGTGGAGAAGAATTCCATTTTAGCAAATAACTGAGCAGGACCTGCTGAATGGAGATTGCCTCAGTCTTACATCTTAGTGAAGCACAATTGAAGATCTGTTTCCAGAATCACAGAACTGAGCAGAAGAGATGCAGGAGGGGGAGAGAATGCTATGGTGGCTGCAATGTGGGGATTCCCCTTCTTCAGAGAAATTTTATCTTGGCTTTCCTTTCACCGTCCCCTGGCAGGGGCAACATGGACAAGACCACTACTGTACGCTGCTGTGACTGGGACTCACAGTCTTTTTGCAGTCTTGCAAAACTCTTGTAGTTCCTAGAAAGAATATACAGAAATCTTCCCTATGGGAATGGGATCATGCAATTTCTCTTTTACTTCCAACTTTGTTCCAGAAAACAGCAAATATCAACTTTCTCCTGGAATTTAGTGTGGTATGTGTATTTATGTTAGCTAGTTATTTAGTTAGACAGTCAATTTAGCAGCCTGGTAAAAATCCAAAGTGCTGATGTGACATTATCAGTCTTTTAAGGGAGGACAGGATCAGGAAATAACTACACAAGGATTACAGGAATGCTTCTTATCCAACATGGTTTTCATCTTCCCTCTTAGACAAACTCAAGGCAAAGTTATTTTTTTTTTCCCTCATGCCTTCTTCTTTCTCATAATTGAGTTAACTCTTATATTATTTTAACTGTTCCTCCATACCGTTTTATCTCCTCATTGCCCTACACCAGTGATGGTGAACCTTTTAGAGACCGAGTGCCCCAAAACTGCCCCTGCCCTGCTCTACCCCCTGCCTCACCCCCACTCCACTTACCGCCTCCAGGGCCCGCCACAGATCATCCAGGCAGCCCAGCAGTGCCATGGCGGCCATGCCCTTTGCCCACGCCCTGCAGCATCAACTGTGCATTGGGGCATGAGGGCAGAGTCTTGTCTAGCTGCCTGGCTGCCATGTTCTTCACTGCACTGCTCTGCGTGGGCCATGCTCAGGGGCGACTCCCCTTCAGGAAGATTGCTGGTGAGAAGGGGGTCACGGGCGGAGGCAAGGCTGGGGCAACGGCATGTGTGCCCACAGAGAGGGCTCTGAGTGCCACCTCTGGCACCTGTGCCATAGGTTCGCCACCACTACCCTACAGTAATAATGTCCAGATAAAGGATAGATAGGCAATGTAATACCGCCTGAACTTTTCAAAAAGTTTCTTTACACCAGCATGCAAAAATCCCAATAAAGTCCAATAATAAGAAATGTATACTAGAAGGTCCTGTATTCCGTCTCCTTCTTTGTTCTGACTTCTTCCTGTCAAGTTGTTGTTATTCACATTTAATTTTTCTAATAGAGAACCCTGATATAAGCTTGCTCATAAATAAATTCCCTGAGACATAGGTTTGAATTTAATGCATCTGGATGTAAGTTTAACTTCTGAATAAATATGAATATGATTGCATTGTAAGTCTTCAAGAAAAATAATGGAATCCCAATGAAACTGGTATTTTAAGTATCTAGATAGATACTTGGGACAAAATAATGGTATTAAATTGCTTTCAGAGGGCACTTGTAACTTGAGTTTCTGCCTGTCTATTCTAGGCTATTGTAAGGAGTTGGTAGATATGATGTAATCACCTGGATCTGGGTGATTGTCAACATCTCTTTGCAATGGTGGGTGGGTTTGCCAGTCGTTTTGGAGGAGAATATGATATGCCCCTCCTGAGGATTGCCTGGATCCAATGGTCTTAACAACTATTGCCCAGTCTCTTTCTTTTTGGAGTAAAGATTTTTGAGACTACATCAATCCTAGAAGAAGTAGATTGCATCTACCAGGGGTGTCCAACTTTGGCATCTTTAAGACTTGTGGATTTTAATTCCTAGAATTCCCCAGACGTTGTGGCTGGCTGGAGAATTCTAGGAGTTGACGTCCACAAGTCTTAAAGTTGCCAAAGTTGGACAGCCCTTGTTTAGTCCTTTTTCAGTCAGGCTTCAAGTCCGGGGAATGGAACTGAGACAGCATTGGTCATTCTCCTGGATGGGGAGAGGATGTCTCGTCTGGTCCTTGAAACTGCTTGATAGATTTCAATGCCATCAATTGAGACAACGTGCTGTACCATCTACAGGATTTGGAAGCACTGTTTTGCAGGGGTGCTGCTCCTTCTTTATTGGGTGGTTTTAGTCTGTTGTGTGGGGTATATGGCTCTGTCTCCTCTGCTCTTTAAAAGCTATATGAAACCACTGAGAGAGGTCATTTGGAAGTCTGGGATATGATGTCATCGGTATGTTGAAGATACCCAATTATAGATTGCCACTCTGAGCTGTAGGGATGATGTTGTCAAGGTCATATCCTGGTGCTTGGAAGCTGCAAGAAGTTGGATAGGAGAGAACAAACTAAAGATGAATCCAAAAAAGTGGAGGTAGTGTTTGTCCATTGCAGTTCTCTATAAACATCAATGTTGTCACTGAACAAGTGAACAGTACTCTTGAAGAAGCAGGTCCATGATTTTTTGGGGGTGATGGTGGTGATGTCCTTCTCATAGCCAGTGCTTGGACTGCAAGTGGAAGCTGTGGCAAGAGGTTCCTTTATTCATCTTTGGAAGGAGCATAAATTGCAGCTTTACCAGGTGTATGAGGAGTGGCTATAGTAACTCATACCCTCAATACAACCTAGGAATATTACTATAAAGAGCTGTACATTTTACAGTTTAACTTTACAGTGTACAAAGACTACTTGGAAATTACAGCTGGTAGAGAATCCAGCAGCCGGTATGTTAACTAGCACTTGATACTGGGTGCATACAAACACTGATACTGCAGGTCCTGCAAGGGTTATCAGATGGTTTCCAGGTACAATCTGAAGGGCTGGTTTTGTTTTATAAAACCCTTTATAGTTTGAGTGCCTACAAGGCCAACTTAAATCAGCCCAGCTTTAGATCATCAAGAGGGAGAAACTTAAAAGTCCCACACTCCCAGGAGGGGAGGGGAGCTAAAATTAGGAAGCCCTCCTTTTCAAGAGGCAATGCTGGTGCTTTAGAATAATCTCATGATGGAGATTAGCACTCTCCCTGATGGCACATAGAAGGATATTAAAAACCAAACGATTTCAGAGAATGTTCTGTGAAGTTTATCCCCTGTGCCAGAGTTTATTATTTTTATTTTTATTTTTTCACTATATTGTTACTTCATGTACAAACATTCTGTACATGTTTTGTCATGCTATGATTTGATTACTGTATTCTATTGCTGTTTTTAATGTATCTTGGATATTTTAATTGATTTCTTTTATACCATGTAAAATGCCAAGTGTTGTTAGATTTCATAGAAGTGAAATGAAATGAAACAAATAAATAAATGAATTCAGATAGTTTATCACAGCTAATAACATTTTATGCATTCTACATTTTGTTATTGGTTTCTTTACACTCTGTTAAAATTTGCAGGGTCCTATTAACATTATACTATTTGGAGGTACATTAATTAGGAAGTGACATTATTGCATTCATGTTCCTATGAATGTCCCTTTAAGCATTGGGCTGGCCACTGCAAGAATGCAGAGTCAGGTGTGAAAGGCTCACTATCTCACTTGCTGATTAGGACAAATAAATACCAGAATCAACCAACACAAGGGCTGATAAGGCCTCTGGAGACTGGAAGAAGATACACTGACAGAATGCCATGGAACAATTTTCCAGATATTCCTACTAAAAGTGAACTAGGTTACTAACGCCAACCCCATTCATTTTGTTTGACTGACTTTCTTTAAAACACAAACATGCGTATGGTTGACTGTCACTGGAGAGCTACAATATATGCATACAAAAATACAGATACATAAACACAAACTCTTATTCTGCAATTTATTTCCACAGGAACAACCATGTTAGTGTCTACTAGAAAAATCAGCCGAGGATCTTTTTCATTCATTTATTCAAATCTGTGGTACCTTAACAAAGAATATTTACTAAATATTGAAGAAGTGCCTGTCCGTGCCTGTATTAAAATGGACTTTGATCCAAACAATTTTGTTGGGCTGATAAGCTCATTCATGTCTAACTCCACATATAAGGCTCTGCGTGGGCTATTTATTTTTGCTTCAATCCAGAGCCTTGTACATACATTGCAGTTCCTTGTCTATGTGCACCTATCAATAGAATGGGTAATTTCCCCCCACCCCTCACAGGAAAACTGAATCACTATCAGAAAAACAGAGGGAGCGAAATAAACAATTTTAGAAAAATGTGATTGTAATGCAAGTGTACTTTTAAAATTACCCATAGTCATCAATTGGCAAAATACAAATCAAAGTATAGAAATGTGAGATAAAAAAAACGGAAGGACTCTTGAATGACTCTGGCATATTTCAGACATTATTTCCTAAGAAATATTCAATTTACTCCTTTGTCTGAAAAAAGAATGTCATTTGAGGAAAAAAAAACCTGTCATACCTTTAAAGATATATCTTTTACTTCTCCTCTCAGCAACTACAAAACATGCAGCCACTGACCCACAAACAAATGAATGAATGAAAAAAAAAAATCCTGACACCTTGAATTAGGAATGAATGTTGCAAATTAAACCACATGGTTTGAAAGTGCAATCTTTCAAAGAATTTGCATTTGGGGTTAATAAGAGGCACAACTAGCAATGGATAAATAAAGGAGGAAAAAAAATATTATGTTCTGAAGGGGCCATAATACAACAGTGGGATTCTAGATCAGTGGCGTATATAGCAGTTTGACAACAGCCATTAAGTGTCCATGTTGGCCTATATTCACTATTAACATGAAAGACATGTTAACTGCTCAGTCTGGGAAAGAAGGGGAAGAATAGATTTGAAGAGATGGTGGGAAACTGTTCAGGAAACTAGAAGCTACCACCTCCGGCCTTTGAACCACTCTCCTTATGGCTTCTGAGTCATTTTACACTCAAACACTGTGATTTTCACATGTAGTCACTTCATTTCCTGAGCAAGAATTCAAGAGCAAGATTCCATCTTTATAATTCGACACTATGAATAGGCTGCTTCTTCTTGAGGGAGTCAATAAAAAAAAGCAACGTACCACATTTATCCCTTCACCATCGCAATATTGTGGCTGGCTTGTTAAAACACTTTTCTTTAATATCATTTAGAAAGGCTAAATCACAAACACCCTGGAGAAAATCCATAAGGCCCACTCTTCCTTTCACCTCTGACCTTTTGACCTCCGCCTTGCCTCAGGGCACTGATGACCCGGTCACTGCCTAACCCTGAGTCAATAAGTCTACCTTCATTAGCATAAAACATGAATCTAATGGCAGTTTGACAAATTATAACTTCAAGCTAAAGATCTGCCAACTGGCTAACTCCTGTAATGACTATTTATCATTGGAAATGGTAAATCATAAGAATTCAGATGACTTAATTATTCAGATATAAAAGCACAAAAATGAGCAAGAGAATGGGAGAGTGGGGGGAACCCCTGCCCCATTTTCCGCAGAAATTTAAGGAAGAAGGCTTATCCGCCAAGCAGGGTATGATCCTTGCGCCAGGAGTGGAGGGGGGGGGCATGCCTCCTCGGCTGGGACCATCATCTTCTCTCCCTCCAGCTCTCAATCTCCACTCCTTTGTCTGCTCATTCTTTTCATCCCCACTTCTCTCATTTTTCTTTGTCTTTGTCATTCTTCCTTCCCCTCTCTTGCTTTTTGTCCTTCCTTCCTACCCTTCATCTTTGTGTCTCTTTCGCCTGCTGCCTTGCCTCCGCCCTATTTATCATCTCTAATTTTAATATTCTTCTTCCCACCCAGTCTTTTTTTCCTATTTCTTTATAAATTATTAGTCGTATTATTATTTTTATTATTTCTT